GACGTAATGAATGATTCAATGGTTAATTCTTTATACGGTAATTCAATTAATACTTAGATAAAAGAAGGAAGAACAACCTCAAAGTCAATAGAGAGAATGTAGTTTTTCATAAAACGCGGAATCCATTATTAAGGACTTTTTTTTAACTCTCTATAAACTAATGTTTGACCGGTATCTTTATGGTTAATCCAGAATAACTTACCTACTTACTTACGCCTGTTACCCCTCATGGAGCAGCATAGGCCGCTCACCAGCATTATCCATCCAACCCTCTCCTGGCAAATCCTTTCCGGTTGTTATTCATCCTTTTCATAGCTGCTTCTATTTCCTGGTATAATGTATTCTTTGGTCTTCCTCTTTTTTGCTTCCCTTCACCATTCCAAGTTAGGGATTGACCTGTAATACACATTGGTGATTTCCTTAATGTATGTTCTATCCACTTCCAACGTCTTTTTCAATCCAGAATAAACAGAACTAAAAAAATGAATTCCATATCACAACATACCATTTCAGGTACGTAGGTGATACTGTTCGTATTAGTGATGGTGAATCGTACTTCTTGTTTTTGCTCTACACTTTCAATAATCCTCATCCAAACACAAATTCTACGAATAAACATGAACAAATCAGTCAATCGCTTTTTTTTAAAATTGAGCGTAAGATAAAGAAAAGGTGAGGCTATTGAAAAAATCATATATAAGAAAGAAATGTGAACGGGACAATACTTAAACTGTAATTGCTTTCTTCCTGAAAGTTATAAATAATGTTCAGTTAAAAGACTTCAACAGAACTTGAACTTTTAGGTTCAAACAACAGAATAAGTGAAGAATTTGCAATTATCAAAGAGAGCCTTATAAAAAATAGATATCCAAAGAAATTTATTGGAAAATGGGTAAAGGAGCGTCCTAAATATCGTAAACAACTGACATGGTTAAAAGCCTGTCCTCGTCCGTCTTCCATTCAAAGATGAAATTTCAGGAAAGATTAATAAACGAATAAGAGTGACGAAAAAATGAAGCTTACCTCTAACTCAATAGGTTTGACCACACAACACCAGTTGTACGTAAAGTTATTCAAAGGTGGATCAATACCTTTCTAATGCCATCAACTGCATATCTGAATTTACATGTACCTGTGTAGCAACTATATAGGCACCTGATGGATAGTGTACTTTAAGTTAATACCAGTTATGCATTCACAGTAATTAACAAACACTCAACATCGATTTTATTACGTTTCACAAAGACAATTGCTATCAAATACTCCTGACCCGACTTATGTTTACAGAAAGATAACATGATAAAACTTTAGGTGAAATTTTGTTCTTTAAACTGGATGGTTTGATGGTAGAGCTCTCATTGTTCTTCTGAACAACATCATCAGCAAAACCTTCAGCTAGGAGTGAAATGTTCGGATTTCTACACATATGACCCAGTTTGTCCTGTCTAACTCGATCTTGACTGGTTATTGTTAAATTTTAACCTATCATTGTCAACCTCCTTATTTTGATTGTATCTCCCTCTGACTTGATTCTGGGTCCTATGTTTGTCCATGATTTTTCTGATTGATTGATATATAGGATATATTTCAATGTGTTTGTTGATTGCTGACTAACCTGAGTGCCAAGCTTCTAAAACTTCTTTGGCTCTTTTAGTGTTCAATCTATCCAAGATCTCAACATTTTCCCAGTTGAATTAGTGTCGTTCATTTGTCCATTTGCATTGATATAAACGAAGATATGTCGTAGCATTTACTACTAATTGATGTTCGTGTAGGCGAAGATGAAGGGATAGTCCAATTTGTTCGATGTAATCAATTTTTTTAGTAAATTTGACCACTGGTAACAAAAACATCACCCTTCTATTCAGTGTTATTATTACTTATTTACTTACTTACTTACGCCTGCTACACCCAATGGAGCATAAGCCGCCGACCAGCATTCTCCAATTCACTCTGTTCTCGGTCTTCCTTTCTAGTTCCATCCAATTTTTGTTCATTCTTCTCATGTCTGTCTCCATTTCTTGGCGTATTGTGTTCTTTGGTCTTCCTCTTCTCCTTTGGCCTTCAGGATTCCATGTGAGTGCTTGCCTTGCGACGCAGTTGAGAGATTTCCTCAATGTGTGTCCTATCCCCTTCCAGCGCTTCTTCCTGATTTATTCCTCCGCTGGAATCAGTGATACTGCCCAGATATGTAAAGGTTTTCACATCCTCCAAAGCTTCTCCGTCAAATGTAATTCGATTGGTGCATGCTGTATTGTATCAGAGAGTCTTGCTTTTCCCTTTGTGTACATTGAGTCCTACTGTTGCTGAGTCTGTTGCTACACTGGTCATCTTCTCTTGCATTTGTTGTTGCGTGTGTGATAGAAGAACCAAATCATCTGCGAAGTCTAAGTCGTCCAGCTGCATCCTAGCTGTCCACTGTATCCCGTGCTTATTACTACTATTATTTATATTTTGAACATGTAACTACGCTAAGTCACAGATTTCGTATCTTGTTCTTCTTAGAATTTTGAGTTCCGTTTCGAAAATGTTCTTCTAAACTTTGATAACCTTAAGTTATGCTAAGCCTTAGTTTATAAGTATCCTTTACTCCCTGTAATTTAGGGCCGGTTTTTAGCTGACGAGGGATCATCAAGTAGAATGGATTCATTTTAATTAGCCATATTTGTCGTTATACTGTTTCAATTTATCAAGAGAATTGATTATATGAAATTGATATCTATTTAAATTCTTACATCATAGAAATCCAAATTTTTGGGCTCGTGATTTACGTGAAGATAATTATGAAATATTATGTCCTGATGGACGACGTGCTGAAGTTCATGAATGGTTAACTTGTAATCTTGGCAAAATTCCTAGTAATGTTGTAGTTACTGCAAATTATAAATCTGAAAATGAAAGAACTAATATGTGGCGTTTATTACAATATGGTCAAGAATATTATTCATCTGATAAGTATGTGATAATTCTTATGATTCAATAATATATATTCAGAAAGGAGGCTTTCGTGGAGATTTAATATTTTCATAGTTGAAAGCATGAGTCAATTGAAGCTAGACCACCAAGGAAAACCTGGAAGCACTGTTTGACGGCCGTTTCGTCCTATTGTGGGACTCCTCAGCATTTCCTGGGTTCGAATCTTGCGAGGCGAGGTCGTGGATTCACACTGTTGAGGAGTCCCACAATAGGACGAAACGGCCGTCCAGTGCTTCCAGGTTTTCCACGATTTTCTACCCTCAATTGACTCATGATTTCAAATATATATTGTTTATCTGTTAGGCGTGAGAATTTTATGCATAACTATAAAGACTGTATGATATTGTATAATGTTAATATTTTATATCTTACTCAAAATAACACGTTTACTTATTACAATCGGAATGATGAATTCGTCTATTTATAAATTGTAATAAGAAACCAGTTGATAAATAAAGAAACAATTAAGCAGATGTTTCGTATATGTTGTACATTATTCATCAGTACCACTTGACTTTTGAAAATAATCCACGTCATCAACTTACTTACTTACGGCTGTTACCCCTCGTGGAGGAGCATAGGCCGCCCATTAGCGTTCTCCATCTCCGTCATAAACTGATATCGATTAAATATCCATTGAAGATTATGATGAACTGTGAAATATTTTATCTCAGGTTCGGACCTCTCAACGGTGCATTTTTTCAAAAGTTCTTATCAGCTCATTCGGTTGACATAATTTTTGATCATTGTCCATAGTTGTGCAGTCATTTCATTTCAATCGCTTTTTCTTGTGACCTGGTCTTTGACCTTGAAATGATTTTGTATTTTTCTTATACATTAAATTTATTTACATATATATTGATTAATGAGTGAAATAAATTCTTAGTTTCTAAGAACTTTCTAGTTTCCATTACGTTTATTTTGTTTCTTTATGTTACTTAAACACATAAGCATTGGTATAAGGAGGCACTAAATAGATATGCACTACATAAATCATTCGATTTGTGTGATGGCTGAAACACTGCCCGGATGCCCCAACCGAAGCAGGTGGTTTTCTTAGAGGGCCACACCCCAAGCCATTGACCTAAAAGCCTAATCCACAGGGCAGTAAAACAATGTTTCGAGATGCAGCCCCATGGTAGCCGGTGACTAACATTAGATTCACATGCCAATTGTTCCTTCAGGATCTCGGAGACCATGTGCACCATGGGATTGCAATCATAGTTTTTCAACTCCCCTAGGTGGATTCTCCGTATTCATCAATCCGGCTAAAATGCCGGCCATTCGCTTTCCATCCTCTGAATTTCTTTAAAAAAAACACCCCTGCCGTGAGAAGGCAGTGAGTACGACTTCCTTGGAAGTGGTTGTATGGACGTGGCCATGTGAGATAGCATTTCGAGAAGAAGAAGAAGAAGAAGAAGAGCTGATACTCTCATCTCTCGACCTTACAGTAGCCCAATAATCCTTCAAAATTAACAGTAATAATAATGAATAACTTGTGTTTTCTTTTTTTTCTTTATTTCAAATAGTGATCCAGTTTTTCAAATGTTTAATTCAGAATTTGGTCAAAAAGATTTAATATTTAATGATGATACAGAGAGTTTAAATTTAATTCCATGGGAAAATCAAACATATGAAGCATGGCTTGGTCAACGATTTATACAAATGGTTGAAAATTTAAAAGTTATATCAAATCCTTATGAAAATGGTTTATATAATAGTGGTCTATTTAGTCTACATCAATCTATATCTAATTCTATAATGAAGTATATACTAACAATGATCATTTTAGTGTTTATCAATGTTTGATCTATAAACTAATCTGATCACATTTATAGATCAACTGGACAATTATGTTTTCTTTTCCTAAGTGTATATTGTTGTATTTATTATGTAATTTCTAATTATAAATGTGAAGTATTTCATTGTATAAGGGAAGATGAAAGAACAATAGACAACACCATGCTTAATACTTTCATAACTGAAAAGTTGTGTATAACTACTGAATATATTCAGTTTTAGTTTTAAACATAGTTTATCATAATGGTATAGTCTTTATTATGTGCTGAATGTCTCTTAATTGATGATGATGATGATGATGATGATGATGATGATGATGATGATGATGATGATGATGATGATGATGATGATGATGATGATGATGATGATGATGATGATGATGATGATGATGATGATGATGATGATGATGATGATGATGATGATGATGATGATGATGATGATGATGATGATGATGATGATGATGATGATGATGATGATGATGATGATGATGATGATGATGATGATGATGATGATGATGATGATGATGATGATGATGATGATGATGATGATGATGATGATGATGATGATGATGATGATGATGATGATGATGATGATGATGATGATGATGATGATGATGATGATGATGATGATGATGATGATGATGATGATGATGATGATGATGATGATGATGATGATGATGATGATGATGATGATGATGATGATGATGATGATGATGATGATGATGATGATGATGATGATGATGATGATGATGATGATGATGATGATGATGATGATGATGATGATGATGATGATGATGATGATGATGATGATGATGATGATGATGATGATGATGATGATGATGATGATGATGATGATGATGATGATGATGATGATGATGATGATGATGATGATGATGATGATGATGATGATGATGATGATGATGATGATGATGATGATGATGATGATGATGATGATGATGATGATGATGATGATGATGATGATGATGATGATGATGATGATGATGATGATGATGATGATGATGATGATGATGATGATGATGATGATGATGATGATGATGATGATGATGATGATGATGATGATGATGATGATGATGATGATGATGATGATGATGATGATGATGATGATGATGATGATGATGATGATGATGATGATGATGATGATGATGATGATGATGATGATGATGATGATGATGATGATGATGATGATGATGATGATGATGATGATGATGATGATGATGATGATGATGATGATGATGATGATGATGATGATGATGATGATGATGATGATGATGATGATGATGATGATGATGATGATGATGATGATGATGATGATGATGATGATGATGATGATGATGATGATGATGATGATGATGATGATGATGATGATGATGATGATGATGATGATGATGATGATGATGATGATGATGATGATGATGATAAGATCTGTCATTCACTTTTGCGACGAATTGATGGTTCTAAAATCTGGCAATCCCATTTAACAGAAGGGGTTTGATGGAGATTTTAATAATTCTATAGAGTTGAGATAATGAGTCAATTGAAGCTAGACCACCACGGAAAACCTGCAAACACTGCACAGCCGTTTCGTCCTATTATGGGACTCTTCAGCAGTGCGCATTCACGATCTCGCACTCGCGAGATTCAAACTCTAGGACCTAACAGTCTTGCGCCAGAGCACTTAAGCCAACAGACCACTGAGCCGGTATCCAACGGTGTTAATGTCTAACTTCAACTAATCCACGAGATTGAGCAACCATTCACCAATGTCATCAATTCGATTTAAATTGACGAAAAAAGCAAGATTACCTAGGGGATTATATTGTTGGATAAATACACTTATGGGTTATAGGTTAAAAATTTGACGTAAACTTGGGCATGTAGGTGATGATCTTGTCTGAAAGAATAATCCAGTTACTCCTTATAGCTCTCGAATGCTTGTATTACCTTGAATCATTTTATGGTTTGTATAGTAAGACTAGTTAATCACGAGTGTATTTGATATTGATGGTCAGTAAATATAACGCCACTGAAGACCGCCTTAGTATATCGTACATGTCGTTGATAAATAATAGTTTCATTGATTGATTCTTAAACGTTTATTAAAAAGTCTAACCTAACAAAAAACATTTGCCCTTATTAAATGATTAAGAAAACAATAGGCCCCTACATGCACACTGAGAAGGTTCTTCACCCTTAAATAGAAAATCAATGGAAAATGACTAAATTTAAACCCATATATAATAATTGAGCCATCAATTGTTATTCAGATAGCGAAATATATGGGACTGCATCTACCAGAACTGGTATTACTTACTGTAATGAATTAAGAAAGGGCCATATGGTAATTCGTTATTGATTTTTATGTCCAGCTTTTTATCACGTTAATTATCCACCAATCGAAATACGACTTTTTCGATCTTAACACTGTGACAAATCAATGACGTTCGACCAGTATGAATAATCTAGCGTCCTTATTGGTCCTTTGTCCGCCTAGCCCTTCCAATTGAGTACAGAACACCAATTACAGCTTCAGCTATACAAAAATATGCGAATCATTTATTACAAGCATACTCTATTTATATACCAGGCAGACAGACCGCATCACACCATAAAATAGAAAATAATATTTGTACAAGATCAAGCCAAGTGTGGCTGTGAACGTGGGATACAATAATCAATAAACTGAGTATAATTCAGGGACAGTAAATCGTACAGTAATAATTTATGAGTCAAAGTGAAGCTTATAATAAGATGATTGTAGGTATACATAAACTAGTTACTCAATAGTTAAACCATAAGAATATATATAGAATAATCGTTCATTATTAGGTCCTGGAAGTTATCCTTACTTACTTCTTAACTAGGATATAACACTTACCAGCCTTGTTTCACCAATGTATTATTTTTTTTCTTCCCCCATTTTCGGGATTAACGATACTGATATTGTTGAATGTATATCTAGGAGCTCTAGTGAGAAGCAGTGACCAGTGGAGTTCAAAACCACGTCTGTTGTGAGATAGGAACTCACTGAAGACAATTGGTGAATGGTTGCTCAACTTCGTGGATCAGTTGAAGTTAGACATTAACACCGTTGGATGCCAGCTCAGTGGTCTATCGGTTAAGGGCTTCGACTCGAGACTGGTAGGTCCTGGGTTCGAATCTCGCTCGCGAGAGCAGGTTCGTGGATGCGCATTGCTGAGGACGAAACGGCCGTCCAGTGTTTCCAGGTTTTCCATGGTGGTCTAGCTTCAATTGACTCACGCTTTCAACAATGATAAATACTAAATCTCCACAAAACCCCTTCTATAATTGATACTGATATTAAGAACACGAAGTTCAACGAAGGGATCTCTTTTCAACGAATTTATATATATATATGAAAATGTTTTGTTAAAGTACTAATTCTGTGAGGAAATATGAACACTAATAACCAAGATTATAATACTAGATTACGTAATACGAATAATAATCATAACAATAGATTTAGTGAATAGAATAAGATGATTAAATTGTTTTGGTTACAATAATTAAAGGTCATTAGAGGTGTAAAATAAATAAGATGATGATATGATGAGTATTCATGAATAAAATAATGACAATATAAAATATAAGTAAAGGGGGAATTGGAGTAATAATAGAATGATACTAATAATAATATTAAGGCCATGGTAACGATAATGATAAAACGTACTTCTTTTGTACGCATACTGATATTGTCTGATAAATCAGTTGACCACATCAGTAAATACTCTTCTAACATTACGTTAGCTAACAACACCGATTTGGATAATGCTATAAGACGAAGGCTATCAGAATTTTGTGAATAGCATTAAACACACGGCAGCTTTTGCATTTTTTTTTCATTCCGTTTCGTCAAAATAAATAGCTAGTTTTAAATTCATTATAATTGGTTATTTATTGCTTAAAATTAATATAAAATGTAAGTACTTGTCAACAGAGCACCTTTCCATCAAATTATGGACAAAAGTAATGTACAAAGTACAAGCTCTATCATTCCTCACGTTGCCAAGGAAACAGATAACATGTTCTTGAATATATTATATCCGGTAGCGTTCCAACCACTTGAAGCGGTAAAGAGAACCATCAGAACTTACGAAAGAGTTACGTACTGCCACTAAGCAGTACGAGATTCTCATTTCCATAGAGATCAGAAACCGTATATTATTTGTATGTTGGAGAAATGGTCGTAGAACACCTAGCAGATCCTCACAGCCGAGTAGACGAAGGAGGACTGCAATGAACACTCAATGTCCGGCCTTCATCTTTTGTAAGTTTATTGAAGGTTACTGGACTGTTGCTCGTGAGAATGTTTATCATAATCATGAGGCGTTCCCCTGAGGTACGACAATAATTCTTGGATGCGCAGCTTGACGGACGCTGAATTTGAAACAGTGAGACCTCTTCTGATTTTGGGGACTGCAGTATTCAATATTTTCCACTTAACTCACCAATCTTATGGAAAATGGCTTGAATGCTCAAGATGTTTTTAACGTGCCCCACAAAGTGTTCTCAGAGGCCAACGTTCCTGGTAAGCAATGCGCCTATTTATATTGTAAACTTTAGATAACTACGACAAATTGAAAGCTTACATCATGTCACTTGGTGGGCTTTGTGATTAAGAATTAGATGAAGGGAATTGTCTTCTGTATTTTTTCAGATGAATTTGTCAACTCGTTTTCTTGATGCTGTTGGTTTTGACACCCAATAATGCTGAAGTAAACACAAAAGCAATTAGTGACAGATGATTACAGTCGGAAAGCTACCTCACCAGCGTTGCTATTAACAATTACTTCCCTGTCCAAGTAGGTCAGCCAAGCATCAAAAAAGCATTGTATTCCTCAGTAAGCCTTATGTCTGAAGAACAATATAGTGTTGATTATAACTGCGCACATAAAGTGGTTTATGGAAGGATGATTTCAACGCCGTTGACCTTATCTGCAGCGACTAAGTTTCACATGGAAGCCTCTACTCCCATGGATGTTACAATGTCGTTGATCCAACAGACGACATGTGCCAACTATCTCACAAACATTAATTTGTATACCACGTTAAATAATGGCGAAGAAGAACATTTTCTTCGCTGAATTCTGTTTGTTTTTATCAAATGTCTATATCATCTAATGAACACTAATCTATCTAACAATCATACATGTAAAATTTATTAAGAATGTTTCAATATTTCTTTACATTGTTCATTCAGACAAATGTAGGCTTTTACTTATTACATCGAATTTAAGCATCGGTATATCTAACTGTCAATTGATACAGTTGATCTTATTCCTACTTAGCAGTATAATCGACATAAAAATGTATTATGTTAGACGTAGGTCTGTTAATTTGCACTTAATACAACCAATATTTCAAATGCTTGTCAAAAATAGTTACTTTTATGACATTTAACTATTTCGGATTTAACATTAAAGATGAAATATTCACATATTACGAATAGGTACGTACAATTTTTCTTAAGTATTCGTTTGTGAAACTATTCGCTCTAATTTAGACAAAAAATTCTTATAAGCAAAGATGGATAGTGGCTAGCAGTGGAATCCAGGACGCGCGTTTCGTCCTATTTGGGACTCGTCAGCTGGATGTACCTGCATCTCAGAGTTGATGCTCACTCTAGTACTCGAACCCAGTATCTTTCGCTTCAAACGCCATCGCGCAATCCACTCGGCCACTGAGTCCTGATAGCCACTTGCTTGTGCAATGGGGTGAAGTTTAAATTCACTTAGCATTGTTTGTTTGAAACTTCCCATCGATTTATTAGGACTGCAACTGGTCAGTCTCTAATTGGCATATGTGCATACTGTGTGTATTGCCTCGATATACCTTAATTCACAAGCATGGTTAGCAGAGATGGATAGTGGCTAGCAGTGGAATCCAGGACGCGCCCCACTTCGTCCTATTTGGGACTCGTCAGCTGGATGTACCTGCATCTCAGATAGTGGTTTGCTCAAACGGCATACTTAAAAAACACTTGCTATTGACATGACGTGGAAAAAATCTGATGCCCATTTACCAGGCATAATGACCGATTTACATGACTGCATACACAGAGAAGTATTTTGTTTTGGTTATAATTATAAACGTCTCAACTATATAGAATGAACAATTTACAGTTAAAAAACTTTTAATGGATTTGCAAATTAATGTAATTACAATCTTGAGTTTAATTACGTAACCATTTTAAAAGCTAAACTAAACAACACTTTTGTATTTAGTCAGTCGATCAGCTACAACTTAAGACCAGGCACATTTATGCATCGGTCCAAGTTGCCATACCTCGTTAGCAAAACAAGATCAACACCGAATTAATAGAAGTAGTTAATTTAGTGGTGGTAGTATATAAAAGATAGGGTGTATATAAGGATATAGTATAGGAATAAAGATATGGAGCAATTTTAATCTCAAGGTTTAAGGGAAGATAAAGAGTGTATACACATACGCCATTGTGATCGATTCTGAGCCATGTCACCTAGAGTCTCCAACCATTGGTTACAATAGTCACGCGAACCCCAACCAGGTAGTCTGCATCTACGAACATGGCTCAGAATAGAAGTTAGTGACTTCAAGCTCTGATGCCACGTCTTCGTTTGTGTTAAGGATTACTGTTTGCAAAATAACCAAACCATAAATATTATTTGCTTCTTTCTCAGAAATTACTATAAATTTAAGATAGTGTAAAAGTTGTTTCATTTACCTATCCTTAACGGTCAGTATGATCAATGCATGCCCTATTCAGTATTTTATCATAATGATTTATGGATATGTTGACACTCTTACTTTTACTCCCAATGGAGAATAGGCCGCCGACCAGCATTCTCCAACCCACTCATATAACGTTTATTAAAAGAGAATACCATGTGTTAAAAAAGCTTATAGAAGTACCACCTTTCAACTTCAATTATTACTATTATCAACTATTAGAAACAGTTATCAGATTTTTTCCCAAATTCTCTTTTAATAATCTACACAATGTGAAAACCACTCTAAATGATAAATCAGTATTACCAGGAAAGGTTGGGGGTAATAATTTTTTTTTGTTTTTGAACACATAAAGGCGGTTTCAATTTTCGTATAATCAAGGCTTCAATAAATCTTAGTATACACCCCGCAAAACTTGTATACAAAACTACAAAGGTTAACTTGATATCAACATTTGACCGATCTCAACCAAATGTTATATACGAGGTCATTAATTCTATTCACTGTAACTTCTATAAAAATCATGTTTATTGAAATGCTTAAGTTTTTCTCTTGAATGCTTCAGTGTAATGTGGTCTATGAATCACATGTACATGTGGTCAGCTTTTCTACTAACAATGAGTATAAATGGTTGATTAAATATTTATGTCTTGGGCCCTGGCTTCGTATAGAAAATAGCTTATGCAACAATAAAACATGAATTTAAATGTGTTATTTTGAAAAAAAAGCACAGCAACCATTTATCAAATGAATGAACTAATGTTAGTTAAGTCAATAATAATCTATTACGTAAGAGAGAATATCATGAGATCATATCAACAAGTGTGTTGTCATTATTTAATATAATTGAATAAAAACAGTTTAACATCAGTAAGTTTGAAATGTGACGATTAGTATTTTCAGCTAATTTTACAATAGTCTATTGTACATTAGACTGCTACTTACTTACTTGCGCCTGTTACTCCTTGTCGAGGAGCATACGCTGTCCACCAGCATTCTCCATCCAACTCTGTCCTGAGCCTTCCTTTCCAGTTACTGTTATGTAGTAGCGAAGACATAAGTACGGGTAACTAAATTATCTATATCTATATTCATCTTATTGTAAGCTTCATTTTGAACTATTGATTATTATTGTATGATTTACTGTTCCTAAGTTATGCTCAGTTTTATTGATTATTGTCTCCCATGCTTACAGCCTCATTTGGCCTGGTTTTGTACAAATATAATTTTCTATTTTATAGTGTGGTGTGGTCTGCCTGTCTGGTATATAGATAAAGTATGTTTGAAATAAACGATTCGCATTACAGCAGCTGCTATTGGTGTTTTGGACTCAAGTGGACGGGTTAGGCGGATAAGGGCCAATAAGGACGCCAGATTACTCATACTAATCGAACGTCATTGTCACAGTGTGAAGGTCGTAGAAGGCGTATTCTATTGGTGGATAATTTACGCGAATTACGTCCTTGTTAAATTCGTAAGGTCATAACGAATCAGCGGCGACCTTGATCATATCATAACAATTGGCTACCGCCTAGGTCAAAAACATAACAGATTGGCGACGGCTAGGTCAAGTCATAACAGTTACCATTCATCCTTTTCATATCTGTTTCTATTTCCCGGCGTAATGTGTTCTTTGGCCTTCCTCTTATCTGCTTCCCTTCACCATTCCAAGTTAGGGATTGACTTGTAATGCATATTGGTGATTTCTTTAATGTATATCCTATCCACTTCCAACAACTTTTCCTAATTTCCTCTTCACCTGGAAGCTGGTTTGTCTTCTCCCATAAAACGCTGTTGCTGATAGTATCCGAACAGTGAATGTTGAGTATTTTGAGTAGACAATGGTTTATAAATACTTGTATTTTCTTGACGATGGATGTAGTAGTTCTACATGTTTCAGCTCCGTATAGTAGAACTGTCTTGACGTTCGTATTGAAGATTCTCACTTTGAATTTAGTTGAGTTTCATATGTTCTTCAATTGTAGAAATGCTGCCCTTGCTTTGCCAATCCTCGCCTTTACATCTGCATCCAATCCTCCTTGTTTATCAACGATGCTTCCCAGGTACGTGAATGTTTCCACTTCTTCCAGGGTTTCGCCATCAAGTGTGATTGGGTTGGTGCTTTCCATGTTGTATTTGAGAATCTTGCTTTTTCCTTTGTGAATGTTGAGGCCTATTGATGCAGAGGCTGCTGCTACATTTGTTCGTGTGTATGGGATAGAAGAACCAGGTCATCTGCGAAGTCCAAATAAGCTAATTGAGGTAATTACTAATGCAGTGTATTAATGTCATAGAATATGAACCGATCGACTCAGTGTTTTAGAACATATTGATTAGATTGTTCACCTATGACCACGTTACAATTTCTAGTGGACATCAAATGGATGTGTTTTTAATTTCTTAATGGGAATATTATTATACTGGAATACAATTCTGCTTGTTTGAAAATTCCTATCATATTTAAAAACACATTCGAACGAAGAACATACTTTCCAATAAACTCTACTGAGTTTCTACGGTTTTAGAAACCGACAACAATTAAGTCTTTAAAATCTTTGAAAGAAACTGAATCTAAACTCGGTTATCTGTAATTAGTGTACGCCAGGAAACTTAAGTAATCTAAAACGTTGTTGATAGGAACTGCTGAGAAGTCCCAACTCACGATAAAGAAGCAATTCATTGCTGCCAAAGATTTCAAGGCGCCACAAATTAAAGTCATTTTATGAATAACTTCTTCATTACTTGGAAACAGTACGTCGTAACTCACTTTCTGTCAAAACTGGAGATTTATGATTTGCGTGAACATCGATATTCGTCTGGGAACATTAGTCAAAAGAATATAGAAAAACCAATATTCGTCTGACACCTCTCAGTAAATGACAAGTCAACAAACACCACAAAAGTATCTGGAACATGCAACAGTCTACCGAGAGTCATATTACCGTTTACTAAGTGGATCATAATCCTAGTCCGTTCCGTCCCGGACACTGTGTGGACACAATGTTTGTTGGTGTGGGTTAGAAGAAGGCTAAATATCAAACCGAGATGACATGTTAGTTCTCGGAGTTATTGAATGTTGGTCTGACCTGTGCTACTAAATATAAGCTGTCGGTTGTATTGAAGAAAGCAGTCATCAAATATGACCATTGGTATAGGTTACTGAAAGTCCTTCTAGTCGAATTTCACAATACATAACAAGTCTGTTGGATATTTTAATTGGTCGGTTAAAAAACTTTGATAGTGAAGCTGAAACATCTGCTTTTTAAACACGTAGTATTTTGGGCATCTCATATCTATATAACCTTCATAGCACGCCTCCTAGTTCCATGTAACCAATTTTATTGTTAATCAAGTTGTTCTGAATTTCTTTCAGTATGCTCAGGCATCTACTTTGACTGGTAATCTTGGCTGGAGTAAATATCGGTTGAAAGAAGGATTAGTTTTAAAATAAAAGTTAAGTAGCTAACTAACTGATGACCAAACAACATGTAATCTTTCTGAGAAACTACAAAATAAGATTAATTGGTACCCTACTGCATCTCATTAGTTGACAAAAAAGCACTGGATTTAGATCTCATGTTATTTGGGACTGGTCAGCAAGATGTATATGAGACGGATGCTTTTTGGAGGATTCAATCATGTGTCACCAGGCTTTACAGTCAGCGAAGTTACCACTGTTATTTGGGCTGCATCAGGTAAAAAGCTAAATAAATCCCTAATTTTACAGCAGTAACAGATGGAATGAAGTGAGTGGATGTAGCATCGTCACAGTAGTTCTTTGAGATCCTTACGTGTGTTCGTATTAATATCATTTAAGTCAATCACTGACCATATCCATCGATCGAATACGTTTTTACGACACCGCTCAGCTACATGTTAATTTAAATCAGTCATATGAAGCCTAGAACCCGACAAATACGCCCGTCGCTACAAGTCACCCCAACATATTAGCACCGTGAGAGGAAGTTATCAAGATAAATACCAGGTATCTAAAAATTTTAGAGCACTTTTGCAGTTGACTTAGCCCAAAATCTGTAAATTTCTCCAGTCGAATGACGGCAGTATGCAAAAATGTAAAGGATGATAATGTCCTCTAACTGCTAGTCTATGTTTATGAGGTCAAACCCTCCTCAATCCAGTCCTCCAGGTAATCGATCTAATAAGTTTCGGAGGTCGTAGTGAGCCCGGCTTTGTTCGTCTGCTTCATCGTTTGGTCTACACGAAATAGAATTTGGTTGACAAAAATCTCAACCTGTAATGATAAGGCAACCAAGCATCTTTGCGAAATTCATAAGTTATTTATAATAGGTTTTCAAAATATTTCAAGAGTATTTGTCTTCTACAGTAATTTTGAGAATGAGATTTTTGCTATGGATACAGCTGAAGACAGAATCAAGTAGATAGATTCCTTCCACAGAAGCAGAGGAATAATCATAGTATTTCACATTTTTGAAATTTGGGAGGTTCACAGAACAGCTCACTTTCTTCATTACTTTAACCTCATAGTTTATTTCAAACTAGAAACAATGATATAACCAATTATTGAAAGCAAACCATAGAATCATATGAGAAAAACTAAGGGATCAGGTTTTCTCATATGAATGGCTATAAATGTGGCAGTAAAACAATAAATGAATTCGTCAATGAGCACTATCATAATAAAATAACGTATCATCGATTTTTCAAAACCTAAGCCAAGAAAATTGTATCAGTAATAGTTATTGTAGTAACAATGTTAAAATGTATTTTGCTAGTTAATGCAAAAATTGAAAAGACACACCCACACAATAAATTTACGATGGGAATAACATTTTCACAGAAGAGATAACACTACTAATCTCACACAGAAGGACAGAGAAAAGTGAGACTAAATCACAATGTTTATAAACAAATGAGATCAATGTGAAACAAGCGCTGTGACTATAGCAGAGAAAAAAAAAGTGAAGTGTTCAACGCTGGAAATTTAGTAAAGCAAGAAATTGTGAACTACTCTGCACAATAATCAAACAACACACACAATGTTAAAAGATTAAACAAGAAGTATAAGTTAGAGGAAGGTAACAAGTTTAAACTAATCGGCGACTAGATATTCGACTGAAAACTATAACTTGAATAGGTTTTTTTTAACCAAAATAATTTTAATTAGGAAACGAAGAACAAGAGATGCTTTAGATTGTTATGTGGTGTCAGTAAAATATTGAAAAGCGCAAAAAAATGATCAATAGGTGCCTATTTTTTTGTATTTCTTTTACGCAAGATAAAGGATTTGAAAACAGAGGAAAGATATGTAGAAAAGGAAAATTATGGAGAATACGGATTTTAGGTAAAGGGAAATTTTAATACACAGGAGATATTATTGATAGGTCTTTTAGAAATGTTTTTTTTCTTAATTTATGATTGCCTTGGACGTTTACGGGCCCAACATCGAAGAGGAAGTTGTTGTGAAGCTAAACTTCGAAAGCACTCATTTAGTAGACGTGGACGATGTCGAACCAGCTGTTCATAGCCTTCAGTTTCGCACACATCATGAGCATGGCTGAAACAAGAAAAGACACTTCACTAGTTTTCTTATAAAAAAAAAGATAAAGTCAGTGATTAGCTTCAAAGAAGCCTATTATAAGTAAACACGATTTATATCTTTTCTAGATCGTCCGTTGTAAAACAGTCAAGGAGAAAAACGAATCCGAGATATTAAGAAATAATAAATATGATAATTATCTCGCCCGTAAATTATTTTCATCTTTACATTTCTTCCATATTTCGCATCCTTTCTCTCATATTCAAGTCGCTATGTAAATTTAGCCTAGAGGTTACTTGACAGCTTAGGATACCGAATCTAGCGTACAATTAGAAGACTTATCACTTCCATGTTTCGTTTGTGCTATTTTACTGAATAGATATATATAACCTACGTGTTGCCTACTTAATTGTGTTGTCTTTTGATATCTATCATTACCACACAACGTCGAACCGGACATATTTGCATCAAGTTGTCATACAACATTAGCATAGCCAGATAAAATTATTTTAGGACCAATTCCAGAGTAGAACTAGTGACAGTATCAAACTAGGTAGAAAGAATTCAGTATAGAAAAAGAAAAGGTGTAAGATTTTGGAATTTATGTTCTTGAGGAAGATAAGGAGTAAATGTAGCTGCGCCATTACAAACGATAATTAGCAATATCGGCCAAGGTCTCTAACAATTGATTACGATTATCACGCAGATTTCAACCAAGTAGTCTAACCTATTACCATGCTCAGTTCGCTTATTAGTGATTTTGAAGACTAGTACTCCCAAATGCCTTGGTATAGCCGAGGGTGGAGAGCCCCTCTCCTTCTCGAAATGCTCTCTCACATGACCTCGCGTATTCAGCCACCACCAATGAAGTTCTACTTACTGCTTTCTCACGACAGAGGTGTTTTTTACGAAATTCAGGGGACGGAAAGCGAATATCCTGCGCTCTAACCGGATTGGTAGGTACGGAGGATCCACCTAGGGGAGTTGGAAAACTGATTTAAAATCAATGGTGCACATGGACTCCGAGATCCTGAGGGAACAAATGGCATACGAAACTAAAGTTAGTCACCGGCTACCATGGGGCTGCATCTTGAAACGTTGTTTTACTGCCATGTGGATTAGGCTTTTAGGTCAATGGCTTGGGGTGTGGCCCTCTAAGAAAGCCATCTATTTCGGATTGCGTGCCCGTGCAGTGTTCCAGCCTTTACACAAATCGAATAATGATCATTCTCATCTCAATTCACATTCAGACAAGTCATATTCACAATCATTTGGTAACATTAGTTTTATTGTTTTAAACTATATCAATTATCTAGCCCCTTTCATTTTCATTTTGTGTATTCTTTTATTTTTCAACTCAAACAGCAACTCGTCCGTGATGGAAACCCTATCCTATCTAAACGATCTCAAGACATTGACTGATCAAAAGTTGAATTCTACCACCGACTACGAATACAAAAAGTCTTTCTGTAACCATGTATACCATTCAAACTGGCCACCTTCAACGCTCACACACTAATGCAGATCGGACAACAGATAGGGTTGGCTATGTCTTTAGAAAGTCTTAATATCAACCACTGTTGTCTATCTGAGTCCCGTATTTAGGACTACAGTGAAGTACTACAAATTCGCTTTTTCGTCTGTCACTTCGAAAAGCTTGTTTTACGTGCGTTTATCCGTGGACCCCGTTTATATGAAGTTCCTCTATTTGGTGTCAACTAAGCGCTAAGAGTTGAGGCAGCACCAGCCGACTGGATCCACATTAACAGTCAGTTGTGTCGTTAGATTAGAAAGCTCCAACAAAGTGATAAGAAATCAGTGCGATAAACGATGTCTTTTCGTCACCTCTAACACAATGCAGCCCAGATGCAATCAAAGATGAGTCCTACCACCATGTAAGCATTCTACAACAGAAGCGTTCGACAGGTATTTTAGTACTATCCGAAAATTCTAATGCACAGCTCGGACAAATAGTCACACAGGAGGGTCTTTTGTGTAGTCGTTGGGTAATTGTCGGTCGCATATCAGATAACAGTGACCATTTGCCGCAACTCTGCGCAGATCACAACCTGTATCCAGCTGGCACTAACTTTCGGCACAGTCATCGCCGATATGCAACCTGGATTCCTCCCTCTTTATCTCAAACCTGGACTCAGATTGATCACATCGCGATCAGCTACCGCTGACGTGGTTGTGTATAAGACTGCTGCTCCTTTATGGAATACTTATCTGGACTCTGATTATGCCCTTGTTTGAGCTAATCTTATCTTACGTTTCAGTGGCCAACAAGTTTATCGCCTTAGACGGATCGATATCAACAAATTGATTGCACCTCCTGTTGCAACTAAATATCAAACTGAGTTAGGTTCAAGGCTAGCTATCAACTCACGCGTAACATCCAGGTTATAAGCACTACAATGAATGTAATTTCATTTAATGAGAGAATTCTTTCTGGTTATATTTTCCCTAGCTGAACTGCTTCTCGCATTATTATTTCATTTTTCACTCTCATTCACTAATTTTCATTCATCTTTGCTCTTTTTTATATTTTACTCACTTTCCTTTCTCTATCTCTTCACAACATCATTTTAATTGTGTCGCATATGTATTTTAGTGCCCCCTTAAACTATTGTTTGTATTTGAATAAATAAACAATGATGCCAAGTTTTAGTTTGGCCATCTCTAACATTTTTTAACCTACTCCAACACCAGACATCTCCCAACGAGGTTGGCAGTGGTTGGATATACATAAGATATGTGCTAACCAACTCAATTGATAAAGATTCGTTACAGCATTAATCAATTTGCCATCTTTATATATTACTAAATCCCACAGAATTAATAGTTTAAGAAAAGTCAATATATTTCAGAGACAGCTAGAGAAGTATTCAGTCGATCATGAAAGTGACTTCCATAACGAGGTAGCTTGGGACTATATTCAAACAGCTATGGAAACAGCAGTGATATCTACCAGTAACTTAAACTTATCTCTGTTGAACATAACTATTATTAACACGCTTCTAATTTGAAAATCTCCTTGGTAATGTTAACAAGAGAACTAGTGACGAAGTCAAGTATAAGTAACAACGATAATTATCGTTTTGGTTTTAAAGAACGCTATAATCCAAAAAACTGATACGGCATTCATTTAACTTGCTGGAAATCTTCCTACATCCTACGTTCCCAAAGCTAGTTGTTTCACAGAGGCTTCTAAATTGATTTAGACTAAAAAACTTAAGTTTGATAAGGAAATTCCCACTCCAAACTAAAGTTTTCAAAAGAGTACATGGTACAAGCAAATATCAAAAATTGAAGGCAATTAAAGGAAAGCCAAAGGATCTATGTTTTTAGACCCCTGACCTAAATCATAAAGACGAACCTACGATCTTGAAGGAACCGATACTCTGAGTATAATTCAATTCCCATCACCTACAGTTACAGTAACAGACGTCACAACAGACCTAGCTGGACAGAGACTTACCTCTTAAAAGACTGGGTTTTGACATATATAAATTAGTCATAATCTACTAGAAACTTACAGCATTATAAATTCTAACGTATGTGCTTTCAATTGTTCTGCGTTATGCATATCAGCAAGACCAAATATATCACATGCATTCTCTACAGAAAGACTTTCCACAAGAGCCTCTTCACACATTGTCTTTAATCGTTCCAACTGGTACTGAAAAATTAACAACACAGTTATAAAACGAAATAAAGCAGAAATTTCAAATGAAAATCTAACGAATAAACCACTTTTCGTATGGGGTCGTGGAAATTATCGGATTACATTGGAATCATGAACCAACTAATGTTAGACCGCCATTGAAAACCTGAAAGCACTGGACGGACGTTTCGTCTTAGTGTGGAACTCCTACGCAGTGAGCATTTACGACCCCATGCTGGGCTCGAACCCAAAACCTTAGGCCTCGCGCGAACACTCAATCTTTTGACTACTGAGCCGGCATCCAACAGTGTTGGTTGAAGTCAGACATTCAAATCCACAGCAGTTTGTATATCATTCCAAGCAACATCTGGGTCAGCATCGTTTTCCAAATTACCCATGTGTGACTTCAGTTGTTCCTGGGATTTACATTTAACTTTCTCATTGCTGAATCTAACTTTAATGAGTCTTCTTAATGTGCCTTCTCTGCGTCCAGTGAAACGCAAGCAAATACGTGCTCGTATTAGAGCATGATCAGAATCTAAACATGTATTCCAGAACAAGTCTTCTTTCGAGCCTCTCCAACGATGACTGTTGGAAATATGGTCTATTTGAGTCCATCATTGGTTTAGTGCAGGCGGTCGCCATGTTAGACAATGTCTCTTCTTATGCTTGAAACTAGTGCTTGTTAGAAACAAACGACTTTCTGAGCACAGTTGCAGCAGACAGTCACCATTATCTGTTCGCTGCAGTCAGTGGGAACGCAGGCAGAAATGACGAAAAGGCTACGACGTGTGTCCCTATCTTTCCGAGATCTTATAGAGCTATTTACCTGAACAGTACAAAGGCGACTGTTAACAGGGATCCATTTTAATAGTGCCCTCATACATAATGCCATAATTACACCCGTAAGTTCACGGGAACTAGCCAGTGGGTCACCAGATAAACGGAGGGTGTAACTCGTCGGTTCGTTTCGGTGAGGTCAGGTCAAGTGAATGACCACACTAGGATCCTGTATGCGTGTTTCGAAGGCAGGTCAGGTCAGCTACAACGTAGGACCAGGCACATATATGCATCGGTCCAAGTTGCCATACCTCGTTAGCACAACAAGAGGAACACCGGATTCATAGTAGTTAATCTAGTGTTGGTAGTAGTATATAAATTATAGGTTGTATATAAAGATATAGTACAGGAAGGAAGAGAGATATGAAGCAACTTTAGTCTCAAGGTTTAAAGGAAGATAAAGAGTGTATACACCTATGCCATTGTGACCGATTCTGAGCCATGTCACCTAGAGTCTCCAACCATTAGTTACGATAGTCACGCGGACCCCAACCAGGTAGTCTGCATCTGCCAACATGGCTCAGGCTAGAAGTTAGTGACTTCAAACACTGATGCCATGTTTTGGTTTGGCCGCCCCTAACTCTCTTCCAACCGTCCCCAATACTAGTCATCATAGCGCGTCGTGGTAATCGGAGGCAAAACATACATCATTTGTGTGAGAATCTAAGGTTTTAGCCAAGGAGATTTGCTGGCTGATTTGACATAGGGTGCGTACGTTGAAGCCAACAAAATGTGCAGTTTGGAGCGAGGTTTCAGTAGAGTGTCTTGTGCACTAGAATCGTTGGCTATGGTGACACTTGAGGAGGAAGCCGAAAGAGGAAGTTTAGAGTTGAAATTCAAAGTAGGAGAGATAATAAGAACTTATGAGGGAAATGGATTATGAATACAGTGATCTTGAGTGCTGTTAGAGGTATAAGGGTGGTTGTCACTCCCTGGCTGCCCAGACGATGGAAAGATATTTCTTCTTGAGGGATCTGAAAAGGAAGCTGAAATAGTGGTGATTCTAGAGACCTGATAGTGACCGCAGAGCCCAAAATGCAACTACTTGAGGACGGTTGCGCACAGCCTGTTCACGGGAAGTTTTTGACTGCAGTCACACTCCTCTACCGTTAGAAGTACATCGCCCTCGGACCTTGATTTTGTTGCTTTTAGTCTTATCGCATTGCAACCAGCCTGTCTAACATGGTAGGACGTTGAGGAACGATTATTACAGCCAGTATGACTTGATTGGTTCATTACGACAGGCGAACCCGACCACCACGTAAAGGTAACAGCAACGGTCGGAAAATAACAAAAAAAACCTATGTATAAGTAAAATTTACTAGATTATTTTTTTATAAGCCAAACCGCGTACAAAATACAGACAGAAAAATACCGACCTTGTCAGCTGCTGCCAATAGCTCGTGAGCGAGTCGATTCATACCAACAACTTGTCCCGTATATATGTAACGCAAAACTTCTGCAACGGTATCTGGCTCCATGTCCGTGATTTCAACCCTATTCGCTCTGGACTCCTCCATGCCATGTCCAAACATCGCAGCAAAAACTGGGCTTCGAGCGGCTAGAATAGCTTTGTGTGCTTCGAATTGGCGAAGTACAACACTAGAACTTGAAGCTCCATTTACCGTTGAACTACTATTATTACTGGTACCCATGCTAGAACACTTTACAGTTTGATTTGTTGTACCCAACGAGCATGCGGTAGAGCTCGATGGGGTTGCGACGAGATTAGAATGAGATGAAGTGGTTGAAGCAGCCTTTGAAACAGTAGCCAGAAGTGATGAATCCCGACTAGTCCGGTTGCGTGGACGATTCGAAGTTGTGGTAGTTGAAGTAGTGTTTCTTCTACGTGTACTTCGCCGTACACGACTAGAAGTACCAGAGGTTTCCGCTTCAACAGACTCTTCGGTATCTTCAGATTCCTCTTTCGAAGTAATTAAAGGAGTAGATACAGTGTTGACAAGAGAGCTACTTTGACTAATAGTTGTGCTACTTGTGGTTGTGCTGCTGCTACCGACATCTGCGTTATGTCCAGCAGTTTGTTTCATCTTACCGCTCGAAGTGGAAGATGATGAAGAATCAGTAGTTGTCGGCAAGGCAGAGGATGTGGACGGCACTGAACCAGACATCCGGCACCGATGAACACCTAAAAAACAAAATATATCATCAGCGAAATAAAATTTGCTTGTATCTTGAGCATAATCGAAATTTTCGGGATATTATAACACGTTGACTAGATGATAGCCATTATTCTGACAATACCATTATTCTGAAATACCACTAATTGAGAATCAAAATGCGAATTAGTAAATATGAACTGAGTTGTGATAAGAAATCAGTAGGTAAGAATTGTTTATAGAACATAAATTGATTGGTTTGATTGGGCACCAAGAAATACGTCACACAAACGAAACACGTTAGAGATATGAGAATGGTCACTCCCTCCGGACTGCCCATAATGTGGAACGAAACATAAATAGCAGAGAAACGAACACGAGATGAAAACAAAATCAAGATAAATTTTGTGTGTATTACAGTTTGTGAGCAAAACAGAAAACTAAGATAGGATCGATGGGCTTTAGTACAAGCATTGTCTAATAGCGTCTCAAGTCACTGACTACACGATTTCTGGGATCTTAGAGAGCTAGTTGTAAGGAATTAGCGGATACAAAATTTTACACATGTCACCAAACGAATGATATCTTGTTACAAAACGACCACCTCCCCACTTTTATTAATACAGCTGTGTTGACAAGTAGTGCACAGTACACAAGCCCCAAAGATCACAAACGTAAAACGTGACCTAGCCATCAAAGTTAATGTTTTTAAATGGTAACATTTATCGGACTGAGAACTCTATTATCCCCAAACACATGTTGACCTTTGTACCTCAGTACCATTTATGCGGCGCCGCAACTATATTTGATCAGACCTCAACGACAGTTCGGAACAAAGATGGAGATGGTTGTATACGGTTTTAGTCCCCTCCATGAGTTTTATTACATGGATTTCAATGTCAGTAAGCTTTAAAATCACAAACCTCTCTTAAAATTTATTCCAGAACACATCTGTTCTATCCTAGTCAAGATTAAAGTACGGGTAACTTCCGGGTTCTATTAATGGGCTAATATTCTATAAACATTATTATTGTATAAATATTCAGTAATTAGATTGTGTATACCTATATTCATCTTATTGCAAGCTTTATTTTGACCTATAGACTATTATTATAAGATTTACTATTCTTAAATTATGTTCAGTTTATCAATTACTGTCACCCACATTCACAGCCACATTTGGCTTGATCTTGTGTAAATGTTATTTCCTATTTTACGGTGTGATGCGGCCTGTTTGTCTGGTTTATAAACCAAGTATGTTTGAAATAAATGTTTCGCTTAGTAGAAGCTGTTATTGGTGTTCTGGACTCAACTGACAGAGTTAGGAGAAGGATCAATAAGGACACCGGGTTGCTGATACCACTCGAACGTCATTGACTTGCCAGTGCTAAAATTGAATGAATCATGTTTCCATTGGTGAATAAAACACGTGATAACCAACCGGCCTTAAAGTCACAACAACATCCCCACCCAATATACCTAGTTTAGTCTTGATTTCAAGAAATATAAATGGTAACGCGATAGAAAGGTGGAAGATAAAAATCGTTAATTTTTCTACATGGAAGAAAACATACCTGCTCCTTGTCAATTGTTTTACACAATCTATACAGATCTTATTGGGATTAGGCTTTTTCCTGTTAATGGTATATAATACAACAGCAGACCTCAACTGTAAGCAACTACGATAGGACCAATGTTTGAAATAATTTCATATTTACGTTAGGTTTATTTTCAAGATATGAAACAACAAAGTAAACTTGCTTTCAACTGAAACAAACGTATAGACCAATTAGGAGCACCTTTACTTACCATTTTTGGACGAAGACCAGGTGCCATCGGAAGCCCTTTGACTAACATCACAAATACCATTTGATTTCACTTCTTGATCGTCACGATTTGCATGCCCTTGAGCAGAAACAAAGCTGGAAGAAGATGTGGCTGAACGCCAATCACCATTAGAAACATTGTTAGTTGGATTATCTAATGGAAATTGTTTTACTGAGGATGGATCTGAAGCACCACCCGTACATGGGACTAACAATGGACTAGGATTAGTAGACGCAATAGGAACTATTATACCTTTAGTTGGTATATTAGTTGTTGTGGCTGGAGTCAGTGTTGAGGACATTACATGTGTTAGCTGATGATTAGGATGAGACGAAGTACTGGAAGCATGATTATCATTAGTGACTAAAGCTCGATGAGTTGCTGTAGCCGCTTCTGCTTCACCTTGTTCATTATTATTATTGTTATTACCATTAGAAGCTAAATGAATCCCATCTTCAACCAATAACGTTAACTGTGATTCTCTATAACTGGATTGTGTATCCTCTTCACGTTCACTTTCATTCTCTTGTTGTTCATCTTCATCTTCCTCATCGTCATCTTCATCATCAAATTCTTCACCTTCATCTAAGTCATCTTCATCTTCATCTTCTTCACCTGTTGATTCATAAGCTGAGAATTTAGTTACTTGTTCATTTACAGAACTGAGACCGGGTAAAGTATGACCTGAGGCACAAGAATGTTGATGTACATGAGATATAGAACAATCACTTAAACATTTCCCATTTGGTGGATTATTAGAAACAACAACTAAAGTAACGTCAGTCAGCAGTTGTTTAAATAACAAGCTTCCGATATCTTCATGTAAATTGCATTCTGGAACAGTGATAGGCTGATTGTTAACCTGTCCACTTTCCGAAAGAATCTCGCCCACAACTGAAACCTGGTTTTAATGAAAACAAATTGTTTATACATTCACGTTACATTGTGGTGAGTCAATCGATTTTTATAAAGTTGGAAAAATAACGTTAACATAGGCATGACTGCTTTTAAATTTATTTGCATCAATACTTAGTTTGACATTACATAGAATTAAAGTATTCTAACAATTTTGACTACGAGAGGATTCTAAGTCCAAATAAACTGAGCCAGCCAAACATAACTTGTTATTATTACAAAACGATAATTATGCTCCTCATAAACTGGAAGCCAGTTGAAGGAGAAGACATACTAGACACTAAGAGAGTGTGGCTGGAAACTCACTACAGGAGTCAGTCAGTCAGTCACAACGTAGAACTTCGTACGTACGTACATCAGTTCGAGTTGCCATACCACATTAGCACAGAGATGCAGTTGTCGATTCAATTCCCATAGTGGTCGAAGTAGTAGGAGTATAATCAGAAATCCAAAAGATTAGGGTTTGAAGAAATTATCGAAGGAGTATAGTACAGTGAAATAAATTTGGATAGAGAAAAAGGATACAGACATGAAGAATTCAGATTAGAATTTGGTAGAACACAAAGAGTGGATGCACCTTCGCCATTGCAAACGATTTTGAGCCATGTCATTCAAGGTCTCTAACCATCGGTTGCTATCATCTCGCGAATCCCAACCAGGTAGTCTACACCTACCAACATGGCCCAGTCCAATTGTCAGTGACTTCATTGATTTGTGCCACGTTTTGGTCTGGCCACCCCTAGCTTTCTTCCAACCTACTCCTACACCATGAAACATTGCACGTCGGGGCAGTCGGTGGTCGGGCATACGTAACACATGTCCTAGCCATCTCAACTGATGAAGTTTCACTACTTCATCAATCGATTTGCCATCCCTACCTAGCACTCGTTTCCTAACAACTGCATTACTTACCCGGTGGTCCCAGGATATGCGAGCAATGCTTCGAAGACACCTATGATCGAACACTAGTAGTCTACGAATATCCTCTACTCTTATTGGCCATGTTTCACTGCCATAAAGTAGGACGGAGCGAACTGCTGCACAGTAAACCCGTCCTTTGGTTGCTAGACGGATATCTCGCCTACGCCATAAATGACGCAAGTTGGCGAAAGCTAGACGAGCCTTCTGTATCCGTGCTGAGATTTCGTCACATACCAGACCACAAGGGCTGATGAGACTCCCAAGATAAGTGAAGTGGTCTACACGCTCAACTACTTCACTCCCTATCAATAGTTCAGGTGTCGCTGCAACCCAATCCTGAAGTAACATTTTGCACTTCGAGGGAGAGAATCGCATTCCGAACATGCCTGCATAGTTGCTTATAGTAGTCAGAAGACTCTGCATGTTGTCAGCGTCTTCACCGAGTAAAACTATGTCGTCGGCGTATTCTAAGTCAACAAGTGAGCCTCCTGGTAAAAGTTCAACTCCTGGAGGTTTAGCTGATGAAAGTGCCATCTCTAAAAGTATGTCAATGACAAAGTTAAACAAGAATGGGGAGAGTGGACAGCCCTGACGAACGCCACTTGTGGTGATCAGTTCTGATGACAGTTCGCCATAGGCTCTAACTCGACCAGTTGTGTTCGAGTAGAGAGCCTTTATGAGGTTAATGTACTTCTTTGGTACTCCTTTCAGTGACAAACATTGCCATAGAACCTCACGATCAACGGAGTCAAATGCCGCCTTAAGGTCAAGAAATACTACTATTGTGGGACGTTTGAATTTGTGTCTATGCTCTAGAACCTGACGTAGGGTGAATATCTGGTCTATGCAACCACGTCCAGGTCGAAAACCAGCTTGGTTTTCTCTAGTCTGCTCTTCACGAGCTTTGGTTAGGCGACCTAGTATTATTGAAGCTAATATTTTAGACACTATATTAGTCAAACTGATCCCTCTGTGATTGTCACAAGAGGACTTTTGTCCTTTCTTATAGACTGGCACAATCAGTGATTGGGACCAGTCAGATGGAATTACGTCCAGTTCCCAGATTCTACCTAAGACCTCAGTCAATCTCACTGCTAGTACTGGACCACCATCCTTAAAAATCTCAGGGGTCAACCTGTCAGGGCCTGCTGCTCTCCCTCGCTTCAGATTTCCTATAGCTTTTTCAACCTCACAGAGGGTTGGAGGACTTACATCAATTTGCCATTCAGGACGACTGGGGATCGTGGGTAATTGAAGTGTGGCTGAAGGCCAGTTGAACTGATCCCTAAAGTGTTCTGCCCATCGATCCAATCTCCTGGATTGAGAATGAATAATATGCCCATCTTTATCTGAGATGGTTTCACTGATATTCGGGTTCCTAATACCGGTTTCTTTAACGAGTCTGAATAGCTGCCTACTGTTACCTATTGCCGCTGCCTTTTCCATCTCTCTTGCTTTCGCTACCCACCACTGTTCACGATCATTACGTAGGCTTCTTATAAGCCTGCGCTTAAGCTGACTCCGCTCTTCGTTATGCTCAGAGCCAGGTGGGATGAGTTTACGAGCATCTATCAGTGCGGTAGATGCTGCCGAGATCCAGTGTTTCTCCCTAACGTTATGGTTTACCTTACTAGCGGATATCACTGCTATTTCCACAGCTTTTCGGATGTCATTCCACGCTGCCTCGGGGTGGACACAACTTACATGGCTGCCTAACTGTTTTTCTAGTTGTTCCTGAAATATATTCTTAGCTTGCCTATCATTAAGTAGAACCCTTAGGGGCTTCCCTGCAGTGTCTTTCCTACGACCAGTAAGACGCAGACAGATACGTGCTCGCACTAGAGCATGATCTGAATCTAAACATGTGCCCCAGAATGAGCGACAGTCTTCTATCGAGCCCCTCCATCGGTGGCTGATAGCGATGTGATCTAATTGGGTCCAACGTTGGGACGAATTCGGGGGTCGCCATGTCAAAAGATGTTTTTCCTTATGCTTAAAGTTAGTATTTGCAAGAAATAGGCGGTTATCTGAGCATAGCTGCAACAGACGGTCGCCATTATCTGTTCTTTTCGCCATGACACTATAAGATCCACCCAGGTGTCTTTCCCTTTCACTTAGTTTACCTACTTGAGCATTAAAGTCACCTGCTACTATTACTACATCAGAACGTCTAGCTCCTCGGAGAAGGTCAGAAAGTTTCCTGTAGAACTCATCTTTTATATCGTCTGAGCTGCAGTCAGTGGGAGAGTAGGCAGAGACGACGAAGAGGCAACGACGAGTTTCCCTATCTTTCCGGGTCCTTACTGATCCGTTTAGTCGGACAGCGCATAGACGACTGTCTACTGGGATCCAGTCTAAAAGAGCTAGTTCTGCCCTAGGACTTAATGCTATACCTACTCCAGCGAGGCCACGGGAAGCAGCATCAGGGCTTCCAGATACACGAAGCGTGTATCGAGATGAAACTTTATTTTGATTAGGTGCGGTCAAATGAATGACACTACTCGGATCTTGTATGCGCGTTTCGGAGACGCAGCACACATCGATGGTGTAAGATTCTAGAGTCCTAGCTAAGGAAGCCTGTTGTCCTATTTGGCACAATGTTCGGACATTAAAAGTTCCTATATGTAGTTTAGAGCGTGGTTTCAGGAGACCAGGAATAACGTTCTGTGTACTCGAATCGTTTGCCCTAGCGGTGCGAGGTGATAAAAGGACGTGGGAAGGGTTAGTCGTGGAGATAACAGAGTTATTAGGTGTAGGAAGGATTTGAAAGCGACCAACTTGGTCTTGTGTGCAGTTAAGGGTATGAGGGCTAGTATCACTTCCCGGCTGCCCACACCGTGGAAGGGTATTTCTTGAGGGACCTGAAAAAGAAGTTGGATTAGTGTTGGTCTTAACGACCTGGGAGCGTGACCGCAGTGCCCAAGGGACATCTGCTTGAGGCCGGTCACGCACGGCCTTTTTGTGGGGGATTTTTGATGTGTTAGCTCCGTTCTTCAAAAGTCCTTACCGCCGGAGACGGAAATCCGTGGGATAAGGCGAGGTGTGCATTTTTAGGGTCGACCTTTTCTAACCCCACCCCTCCTTGTGGGAAGGCAGCATCGCTGTCATGCTGGTTGTCTGAAGGAAACACCTTACTGCTTTCACACCTCTGTACAGTCAGCAGTACGACTTCGCCTTCGGACCTTGGGATTGCTGCTTTTAGTCTCACCGCTCTTCAACCGACCTGTCTGGCATGGTAGGACCTTGAGGAACGATTGTTCCAGCCAGCATAGCTCGATTGGATCATCACGATAGGCAAGCCCGACCACCACGTCAAGGTAGCAGCAACGGTCGAGCACTACAGGAGTGTGAACCCGGAATATGAGTCAAGATATAAAAAAGGTAGGTACGATTACAGTAAGCGGAAGTTTACACAGTAAAACAAATAAATTTACGATTATGTGCATTATAGACCTCAAATGTTTTTAAAAAAAAATATACTTCACTAGTTGCTATAAATCAAAGTGATCTGTCTGTTTCTACAGCAAATAAGTATGTAAGACTCAGAACGACAACATTGGGAAGCTTTCTTCGCCAAACCCTTATTTATCATCAAGAGCACTTCATAAATTAGAATCACACATGATCAGCTGTGAGCCCCATTTCATCTATGAGACAACGTATGTTGTAAGCATAACCGAAAAATTTGCAGAAAAGTGCACCACAATTTGAAACAGCAAATCCACAAAAATGAAAACACGTCACAATAAACAAGAAACGAATAAAATCATTGAGACACTGAGAAAAATAAAACGACACAGTGAAGGAAATCTTATTTTCGACATCATCAAGTAAGCCTAAACATGTGCATACGTAGATATTTAACACAACTATCACTTAAAAACTGATCGAAAAAATACTTTGAAATATCAAACAAAAGTTACAAAATAGCTTATAGGGCAACGAGAAACAGTGAGCTGAAAATAGATCAGAGATGAGAAGTATGAACAAGAACCGTTCGTTTCATGAACATAAAATATGAAGGAATGAGTAGTTATAAATGTATAAAATTGGGAGGGATTTTCA